CAAATTTCGTGGGGGTTGTGCACTTTAACGAGAAACCCTATTTAGACGGCCCCAAGAAAAGTAATTCCTTCAGAAAAGCCTATGCGCTTACGAGGCCGCGGATGGAAGGGGTGTAATGGCCGACAGACGCTTTATCATACGCATGGTCTAGGGATCGAATCCGAAATCAATACCCGGCCAGAACAAGCAAATTTCCCATACTTCCATTGTCGATTTAATGATAGTATTTTCATCTGAAAAGACAAAAGCACAGACTTGTAACGCCTGGCTGGCCACTGCAAGTCATTGTATGGGCCACGCAGTCATTCAAAACGCTACTACGACTTTCAATGGGTGTTATCCTTTATCCTTTGCCCACTTGAGGCTTCCAATATAGAGCGAAATCTGTTTTGCTAAATTTTTTGTTGTGGCTATTCATGGTTCAAAGCTTTTTTCTAGTTACACAGACCCCATCAGATTTCTTTTGTCGACCTCTCTCTTCAGCAAAGATCGCACTAAAGATATCTGTCAAGAAATCTTCTGCTGCCTAGGGAAACACCCTACCGGCCAGCAATTAAGGCATATCTCATAGTCGTACCGGATCGCCTGCATTCTCTAAACGGAAACTGAAGCGTACTGTCGTATAGGTTTTTCTTAGATGGGCACAGATTAGGCCCTGATACGGTAACAATGATTTAAAAATGTTCACATACAATTTCTTGCAGAAGAAAAACGATGCAGCGACACCGAGAGCAAGTATTCCAACGAGACCCATGCATAAAGCCAGCATTTTGACTGTCAACTGGCCATCCCAGCCGAATGAGATCATCACTAGAGGTGACATAATCCTGAAATGTTGCAATGCCATCCTGAAGATTAGCAGTGTAGTTAAATAGGTAGGTACGGCCAACCGAGTAATATTTGGAAACTTCAAACTCACGAGCTCAAGGTGACAGTGGATATGTTGGAGACTATCCTCTCGATCCAGCACACAACAATCAGTGCCCAAGCTAGGTTCAACGAAAGGACCACATTAATGCGTGCCTTGATCCCTTCCAGGGTGAACATTGCACCATCACCTGAAAATTACATACTCTTGAATTACTTCTTCCTGTAATTTTTCCTTAATTGTTTATAATAGGAACCTGGTTTTGGTTTACTTACGTGAAGCCTCGATTAGGTGAGCGATTCACCGCAACCCATTGCCTCCTCCCCAGTTTTCCGGGTGGCACCTTGTTTCGTTAGCGCATCCCAAAGTAGAATTGGAAAAGGGTATTTAGGAAAGGCCATTGTTTTTTAATGAAGCTGCGCTTACCTACTTCATATTAGGCGTAAGCTAGTTCAAGGGTTTGGAACTTACTGTTAGTACTTCGCTTTGTTTGGTGAGGGGAACTGGCTTACGGACTGTACTTACGATTTGCTGCCTTAAATTCATCGTTACATCGCACTCTAAATCATTGGCTTCTCTGAGAGCGGTGAGAACTACTGCCACACTGACTCAAACTTGGGTGCTCATTTTCCCCCTCACCCTACCCCTACCCCCGCTCTGGGGAAAGAAAACACTGATTTACCATGTGGCACTGAAGGTCCACTACTAATTCAAGTAGAAGCCAGGAGTAGCACTGCGTGGAGATTCCCGAAATAAATGATCAGTGCCATTCACTCCGCTATTTTAAGGGAACTGATAAACTTACTATCTCGTTTTGTAGCTGTGTAGACGTCACGTAGTCCAAACCAAATGATTGCCACCGAAATGAAGTTTGTAGCCGATGCGATCCAAATTGGAGCCGAGTAGATATGGAATTTCAATACACCTTCGATGATCTCGTGTCCCGGATATGGCATATTTGAAAAAGCCAGTTGACAAACTGAAAACACAAAACTACTCGGTAGTTGAGATACTGTTGAACTGCTGAAAAATTCGTAAATAGCTGGGTGGCAAATTTATTAAAAGGCTAATCCTGAAACATTTGGGTGTCAATGTCTCCCGATTTCCAGTTACGCCCAACGTTCGACTCTCGAGAGGAATAGTAGAGAGTTTTGAATGCGTATGTAGCCTATACAACGAATTGCGGTGACGGCTGGGTATAAAAGTCACTCAACTCATCCTCCCATCCTCCCACTCAGCTCTACAACCAACCAACCAACCAACCAATCCCGAAGGGATGGAAGCCTTGTTTGGCTTCATTGGACCCCCGACAATGAGTGTGTGTCACTGCACCACCTCCCCCCACTGTAGGGGAGATTGGGATTGAATTCAATATGCTTACGTAGGTTGCCTTTTATATTTCGGGATTTGAGAACAGGAACAAATGCTATTTATTGAAAATCGCTTAACTGCCTTTCAAAATTCTCCACATTAAGATCTATACACTTCTGCATAGGCTCGAACCAATTTTCGAAGCACTTTTGCTACTCTGATTAAGGTAACTCGAAAACATGGATTCTGAACGCATCAACGGCTTCTTCAGGTGTCGAAAAAAGCTGACCTGTCATTTTATTTTTTATACGAGAAGAAAAAGAAGTCATTCGGTGCCAATTCAGACAATATGGCTTATCACATCAATGTTGAGTGCTCAAAAATGCAGTTGTTTGAGCCGATGTGTGAGAGCTCGCATTGTCGCGGCGTGGGATCCAACGCAAACAAATTTTTTACAGTTAAATGTTCATGCAAAATTGAATGTAAGCTAGTCCCACTAATGCCTAAGGTTGCCTCAATCTCACGATAGGTCGCATGACGATCTTGCGGTAGTAGTTTGTGCACAGCATCAACTTTTTCCGGAACGACAACTGATTTTGGACGACCTTCACGAAATTCGTCTTCGAGTGAACTACGACCTCGGGTGAACTCACTGTACCATCGATAAACAGTGATCCTGGATGGAGCTTCATCCCCAAAAATTGAACCAAGTTCATCCATGCATTGCTGTTGAGTTAGTCCACGTCGAAAGTTGTCGCGCGAAAATGCCCAAGGTTCAACTCCATAACTTGGCCGAAGCAAAATCTTATAACCTAGTGTAAACAGCACAAAACGCGCTCAAATTGTGCAACGGAACCTCAAAATAGTCAAACTTTACGATAGTGGTGTCAGTTGCTAGATTGCTACACTAGTGTTTCCAAATCCCGAAATATAAAAGGCAGCCCTCGTAATAACTGCTTACGAGGTCCAATGACGATCGATATCATATTGGCAACAGCGATAGCTGAATAGGCTTTGGCTCGATCCTCTGTAGTACTAACAGCAACTATGTATGCTCGAAGTACCGTTGACGAACCTGAAAAGCGAGAGTGTCACCTATTTTGGGTTATCGAGCCTTTTGTTATTGTTCAGGACCATCGACCATCTATTTTACATCTGATACATCAGACAGATGGCTGGTCGTTAAATGAATGTCTTCTGAACTTACTGGCTGCGACTCCGAACAGGAAATAGCAGAATAGCATGAGGTATCGTCTGTCTGAAGGCAGCATTTCCACACACAGATAGACACAGCAGGAAAAGAATGCGATACCTCGACCCACTATTAACGGCACTCTAAAAATGAGCGATGAATTTGCTGAAAAACAATCATCCGATCCTTTTCCATTAGCTTCAACATTTCCAACATCTCACGATTATCATTCTGTCTATTTGTCCTTCTGGGACAGGGAAGAAAGGCTAATTGACTATAATAAAGAGTTGAGAATGACGAATTGTCGACTACTATCCACCATCCATACTGGGTACATTTAGTGGTACACTACTGATCCAAATGACATGGCGTCTTACCCTCTACACCCTTTCACTCGATTTCACGCCTTCATTCACTCCCTCCAAATCGAGACTCAAGGTCATTTTGTTGCGGACTGTTTTATTGTGGCCATTGTGCTTTGAAGGTACAGCTCCTTTGGAGGACCAATTATTTAAAAAACCGTAAATGGAACCAGCGAACCAGCTGATCACCCGGTCGTGAGCCTTATTGGAGAATACGTCACTAACCCACGGAATACTAAGGTAGTTTCATTTACAAAGTAGGTGAGCTAGTTAATAGCTGCTTTTTTTATTTGTTTCCATCCCCTTGTAATGTTCACTTGCCTTCTTGTGGTTAGGGTGACACATCACATTGTGAGCTCTAATTATTTTCAATATTACTCGTGAATACTGGGAATAAACCCAGTATTTACGAGTATCGTTGACAAAGAGATAATGAGCTCATCCGGTTGGAAACTATTTCACTAACAACAAAAACAAAAGTGGTAATTACGGGATGACAATGAATTTGACCTTAACGAATCAAGGCTCACCTGAGTATTTTATCACGGCTGAAAAACTTAAAATGACAATCAACAATAATGAACCCCTACTTATGGTAGGCCTATTAGGTAATCGTATTCTTGCTCAAAAATGGAAGGTCAGAATGGGGACATGAATCAAGGTCTTTGTCACAGAACTAATTTTGGCCATAAAAGATAATGAGTTCTTCTAATTTGGCCTGGATTTTCGCCCAAAAAGTGGCACTCACTACTCTCAGTACTCAGTAGCACAAGGAGGGTTCTTAACACTTGTCAGGCTTCAGCCAATGTCACTAGGCTGTGTGAATCTGATACTCTTTCTGACGTGGTCATTTGGCAATCATTTATCCTACAGCTTTTAGATACCAGATGATGTACAAATCAGAGCTTTCATCTGCCGAAACGGACCAGACATCAGTGAAATGACATCTGGAGGAACAAAACGCTTGATTAGGTGAGGCAGGGTAATCGGTAAAAGGTTCAATCCTCATACCATATGTATCGTAGCATGTCATTAGGTTCTCCATTACTTTCTCACTTGGTCATTGATAACAGATATCATTCATAAAAGTGATAACCTTAAAGGCACAGCTCACGATAACTTTGAGATACCCGTTTTCATTCGAAAAGCGGAAATATAGGTTGGGAATACTTCATCAAAAGTGAAGAAAGCGAGAGAATTTGCCGATTTCGAGGAAAATATGGTTCAACGATAGGGAAAATAGAGATTGGACGAAATTGCCATGACGGAAATAACATGGAAAGCATATTCGGACGAGATTTCAGTTATTGCAATTGCACAAAGAGCTCACTAAATAAAGCCAGAACTGTACAGAACTGTCTTTCACTGTCGCTATGGGCCATAACAAACTTCCAAGAAGGGTTTCCTTGAGATCTGTGCAACCTCTATAATGCCGGTGAAACTCGTCCGAGGATACACACGGCGCAATCTTTGAGCCTTTATAACGCCCTAACTAAGCCGTTTCCCGTCCCAAAAGCATCAGATATGGTATACGAGGGGGCCTCAAATCCACCTTATGGGAGAATTTCAGAAACCATTTTTATCGTGAACTGTGCCTTTAATGGAGGTGGTGTAATGACAAAAGGCGCATCACCAGCAAGCAATCTGGATCGACACGCACCTAGGCCAACCAAGTCTTTCATCCCTCCGGGATCATATGTTTGGTATAAGAACCGTCCGGAAAATAAAAACACTGATTTGCACATCAACTGACCAACAAAATCCATTGTATAGGCCACACATACGAATTCAAAACTACTTTTTACGTCTACCGCGTTTCTTAATGTAAGTAAAAAGCGAGGGCGCATCTTAAAAAGGAGATTGGTTGACGTCGGACGACTTTTACTTGAATCATAGTAAGATTTCATATGCTTATAGATTTCATCTTGAAGGCACAGTTCAAGATAATTTTGAGGTACCCAGTTAATTCCAAAAGCAGAAGTTTAGATTGGGAATAGTTCATCGGTAGTGAAGAAAGCGAGAAAAGTCGCTGATTTTGAGAAAAATATGGCTCCCTAAAAGTTGGGAGAATAGAGTTTGGACGAGATTGCCGTGACGGAAAAAACATGGGAGGGGTATTCCGACGAGACTTCAGTTGTTGCAATTGCACAAAGAGCTGACTACATCAAACCAGAACTGTACAGAACTGTCTTTCACTGCCGCTATGGGTAATGACAAGTTGCTTGAACTTCCTACATGGGTTCCCTTGTGATTGATGCAGCCTCTACGATGCCGGTGAAACTCGTCCAACGATACACACGGGCCAATCTTTAAGCCTTTATAACTACCTAACTAGGCCGTTTTTCGACTCATCACAGCCAGATATGGTATACGCGAGGGCCTCAAATTCATCCTGTGGGGGAGTCTAAGTAACCAATTTTATCGTGAACTGTGCCTTTAAATCGAATAAACCAACCCCGTGTTGGGATCAGCTTATGTCCGCAGAAAAGTTCGTTTCGTTTTGATTGAAATTGAAGTTTATATTGTCGAATGAAACAAACTCACTTCACACTATGTGTTCTGTAAGCCCAGAAAGCGAATACGACAGCGAAAACTGCATGACCAAAT